TTGATGTTATTCAGAAGCATTCTACTGTTGTGGCCTGCTATGTGGAAGCAAATTCTGGAAGGACAATGGGGGCTTAAACCACTGCTTAGAGGTTTGCATATTCTACGATTATGAGAATTCACCTATGTGATACTATGGATCTCCTAAAGTGAGTTAAGTGAAAAGTTTTTATATAATAAAGTGTTGACCTATTAGTGGTTCCGAAGCCATGATGAAAAACGAGTTCTACCATATACTGGCATGTTAAGTGCAGTGAGTGGTACGGGATTTGCAGTGAAGATCAAGGTAGCAGCTTGGTGTGGACAAGGATGTCACGAGCTCGGATGAGCAAGAAAGGAGTTCCGATGTTTAAGGTAAGTTGGTATTGTCTTCAGCGTCACCTGAGATTGGTGTTGTGTAAATAGGGCTTGTATCATGGTTGATGATTCTTGATCGCTTCTGAGCGTTAGTACGGTCGGTGGGTTGGAGGTAAGACCCAGTTGTTGTTTATGGTAGGTTGTGGGAGTGCGCCCCACAGGAAGATTGCATAAATATGGCATGTAGTCACTTGATTGATTAAAGATTTAAGCCAAGTATGAGGATTGTGGTAATATCATTGATTTGGGAATTTATGCTTAGAGGGCACTCTATCTATTGGGTTATGTACTATGGAGGTTCGCTCCGGTTATGAGGGTTATTCTTATGCCGTATGAGAAAAAAGGGAGCTAGGATGGACCTTTGAAAGGTTATTGGTTTAGTCGATATGATCGGGATCGACTTGAGGTCGGTGGATGGATTTAAATGTGGATATGGGCTCTATGTCCGACCAGTTGTGTTCATTTCAGTAATGTGTTCCTTGTGGAGGAGTAGTCAGGCTGTTATTTCGCTGTCAGATATTTCGTCTAGTGATACATGGCGTCATGTGAGTTGTGAGACGGCTGGAGGAATTGCTTACGTGTTGAGGATCCGAGTAGAAATGACGTATTATAAGCAAAATGGCTCTTGAGATTCAGATTGTATATCGCACCTGAGTTGTGCTTGAGTTTTGTAGCTTATAGCGCTATATGTCCCCTCAGGGATGGTATTATGCACTTAGCATGCTTATGACCGATATTCGGTATTTTGTTGTAATGAGCAAATTTAGCTCGATGTGCAATCTCCTTATGCGAAATCTATGTTATTTGGATCGGGTTGCGCGCTGCAACAGTGTGATGTTGAGTATGGCCTTCTATATGTTATTTTTGTATGTCCTGTTTCCTATTTTCTAAGGAAAGTCCGTATTAGTGGGGGAGTTAGGTAATTCCTTCCAGAGTTGTCTTCCTTTTTGTATCGCGTTCGAATAGGTGGCCTATTGGCACATGGTGGCATCATATGAGACTCTTGATTATGTCCGGGGTGGCTTATTGCCTGAGCAGTTCGTACTGGGTAAGATGAGATCATTGGATTCAGGATCAGTGTAATCTGACTGTATGGAATATATTAAGGAGTACATATCATTATTTGGGTCAGAATATGGTAATGTTTATTGTATGAAGTATAGACTCAATGATTGGTTGACTCGGTAGTTGATTATGAATTTCTGCACATCTTTTCCGTTGTGGCGGTATTGTAAGAGTTAGAGTAAGACCTGTGTATGTCGTGGGGTGCAATGGGAGCATCAGATTCGTGGAATTTCGACTAAGTTGATCAGAAAATGTTATTGTGGTCCGGAGAGTAAAATGATGCAAGGTGTGAATTCAGCAAAGTTATGCAGTCATGTTTGGGTACAGCGTGTGGCGATTGATACGGTGTTCGTATGTTGGAAACAGGCCTGACGGGGAATTCCGGATGTTGGAATTGGGCTTTAAGGCCTATCTGCTTGAGTAGAAGGAAATATCTTCAGAATTGATCGACCGAATGCGCTCAACTAAGTTGTGGTAGCAGGGGAAGGTGCATTAGAAGTTAAACAGCGATTTCAGACCACTCCAGTGCAGTTCTCAGCACGTTCGAGGACGAACGTATGTTTAAGTGGGAGAGAATGTAACGACCTGACCGGTCGTTTTGAGCCCTAGCGCATCGTTCAGCAGTCCGAGGCCATGAGCAGCTTCAATTTAGGGATTTCGACTTGTACGCGCGATCGGAATTGAGTTTCGAGAAATCCGGAGTTGATTTGGGAAGAGAATTTTTATTTCAGGAGCTTAAAGTTGAAAGAATGAACTAGGACGGGAATTTGAGCAAACGACCTCGGAATCAGGATCTTAAGGTTCCAGCAGGTTCGTATGATGACTTCGGACTTGGGCGTATGCCCGGTTCGGTTTTTGGATAAACCGGGAGCGTTTTGGCGCCTATTGTGGGAGTTAGCATTTTAGAAGAAATTTCATAAGTTTGGCCTGCAGTGCATTTCACTGTTATCGATGTCCGTTTGGGATTTCGAGTCTGTGAATAGCTCCGCATGGTGATTCTGGAGTTGGGAGCGCGATCGGAAGTGAATTCGGAGGTCAGTAGGTCATTTTGGAGCCATTTGGCTAAAGATAGAAATTTGAAGGTTTTTGAGAAGTTCGACCGGAAGTGGACTTTTTGATATCGGGGTCGGAATCCGATTCCGAAAGTTGGAGTAGGTCCGTAATGTCGAATATGACTCGTGTGCAAAATTTGA